CTTGTAATGTTTTCTCCTGGTCCCGTGTGCTCCACCCGCAGCCCTGTCCTGCGAAGTCTGTCTATCACAGTTTCGTTACCTAGAAAATGACCTGGTGGAATGGAAATCAGTCTATCAGCAGTAGCTCTGATTACAACAGCAATAACCAGCGGCGCCGACGCAGAAAATATTTCTGGGTGCTCAGCCCATGCAGCATATTTCTGGATGCGGCTTAAATGGGCCTGGTTTAAGTCTTTTTTTTTAAAGTGTGTAACAGAAATAACAACAGTAACGTGCTGAATTGCAAAATAAATATAATAATATGTTTGAAATAATACACAAATGAAAGAACAAACATTTAATATAAGGAACCTGGTTATGCGTACTAAGGAAGGCTAATTGGCGGCTTAAAAAATGTGTGTGTCACAACACCCCTCCCCCCTTCCCTCCCCTCGCCCCCCCCCCTCGTTAAAAATAAATAAAATAAATTGAGTTAAGTGCAAAAAGTGCTCAGACAGCGCAATCACTATGCATGTTCGCAGTGATAAGGGAAAAGTTCCGCTTGTAGTTCCAGGGCTTCATCTGGGAAAAAGGGGGAGGGTGGGGTAGACCCACGGCACCCTAACAAGCATGTCGTAAAAAAAAGTAATGACTTTTTTGGAAATCCGCGTGGATCCGCCGGAAGGGCCAGGGGTCACGATTTCCCCTTTGTTTGTGATAGTTAATTGGAAGTGGGGGAGGGAGTGCTAAAAGAGCTTAGGAGTGCTAAAAGAGCTTAGGAGTGCTAAAAGAGCTTAGGAGCGCTAAAAGAGCTTATGAGTGCTAAAAGAGCTTAGGAGTGCTAAAAGAGCTTATGAGTGCTAAAATAGCTTAGGAGTGCTAAAAGAGCTTAGGAGTGCTAAAAGAGCTTATGAGTGCTAAAAGAGCTTAGGAGTGCTAAAAGAGCTTATGAGTGCTAAAAGAGCTTAGGAGTGCTAAAAGAGCTTATGAGTGCTAAAAGAGCTTAGGAGCGCTAAAAGAGCTTATGAGTGCTAAAATAGCTGAGGAGTGCTAAAAGAGCTTAGGAGTGCTAAAAGAGCTTATGAGTGCTAAAATAGCTTAGGAGTGCTAAAAGAGCTTAGGAGTGCTAAAAGAGCTTATGAGTGCTAAAAGAGCTTAGGAGTGCTAAAAGAGCTTATGAGTGCTAAAAGAGCTTAGGAGTGCTAAAAGAGCTTATGAGTGCTAAAAGAGCTTAGGAGCGCTAAAAGAGCTTATGAGTGCTAAAATAGCTGAGGAGTGCTAAAAGAGCTTAGGAGTGCTAAAATAGCTGAGGAGTGCTAAAAGAGCTTATGAGTGCTAAAAGAGCTGAGGAGTGCTAAAAGAGCTTATGAGTGCTAAAAGAGCTGAGGAGTGCTAAAAGAGCTGAGGAGTGCTAAAAGAGCTTATGAGTGCTAAAAGAGCTTAGGAGTGCTAAAAGAGCTTAGGAACTATACAAGTTTGCAATAAGACCTAAGTTCCGCATGTGGGTTCCGGGACTCCATTTCGGGGGTGGTGGGGGAGGGGTGACCCACTGCCCCCTAACAAGCATGTCGCAAAAAGCCACCAATTAGGATGTTTCCTTGGAAGTCGAAGTGCATCTGCCTGACAGTTGAGGAACCAACAGTGTCTACACAAATGGGGCAGATTTGTAAAACGGATGTGTATTTAAAAACAAGTTCTGGAGCAAGACTAGAGTCCAGAAATGGGCGAACAACTAAAACTGCCCCCTCCCCTACCCCCACCCCTCCTCCTCCCCCCGGAAAGTCTGTGAGCGCTGAGAAGAAGAGACAAAAACCAAAGTAATTAAGAAAGGTCTTAACCCTTACAGTCCCAATTGATACTTCTCTTACATATTTAACCAGATTGCTTTTGTGCAGGGGAGCTGAAATTTCAGGGTGGGGTGGGAGGGTGAGGTCCTTAAGGGGGCCTACACATTTTGACCCCCCCCCCCCCCCCCCCCCTTTACAGATAATTTTGTAGGGACGCTAAAAAGCCTCCTTTAACCGTGTCTTTAAATCATCTTCAAAAGCATTTTTTTGTATGGAACAAGATACAGTCCAGACGTGGACGAACAACCAGAACTTTCCCTTGGAGTTTACAGAAAGTGAACATTAAGAAGAAGATATTTCAAATTTATTGTTATATTTACTTACCAGTCAGCAAATTATTATTTTTATTATTATTATTACGATTATTACCATACTCTTAAATTCTGATTAGGCTCCTTAACTCTTTGAGGAACGCATGAGACGTTCATAGGTACCTACCTAGAAGCCTAATGAACGTGAGATACGCCGATTTTTCGTCACTACCCCTTCGGTCTGTGATGCTGGACCCCCCGGGACTGAAACAGTTCAGCCACCCTTCCCATTTTTCATCCTAGTAAATATAAATGGTGATTGGGTGGGAAGGGGAGGGGGTGTGGTGGGTGCAGTTTCCTTCCTCCCCCGTTTTCTCTATGTCACTAAGATCAAACATAAAAGTACAAAAGACATTTAAAAAAAAAAGGGGGGGGGGGGAGGGGGGGTGGTACACATAAATAGTAAATGATCTCAAATAGCGCTCTACTGGGATAGAAAGAGATAAGATTATTCACATTTGGTGTCAAAAGTTATAATAAACGAACTCAAGCAACTGGCGGGAGTGGCCAGATTGTCCGAGCTAACAGAACACGGAAGACTGGGTGGTCAGATTCTGACATGCGCTGGGAAAATAAATCTTCGCTTCCTGGCAAGGTGGCCTGGGGTCAGAGGTTAACATGTCCATAGTAGGTTTCCTGTCTGTTTCGTCCTGGCCTGGAGTAATATAGGCACTTAATAAATTCCGCTGTCTCTCACCTGCCAGATAAGGGACGCAGGATACCAAGACTAGAATTCTACTTTCCCCATCTGGGTTCCGGGAATAAATTTCAACGGAAGAGAGAAAAGACACATTGCCCCAGTTAGGTGCGTGTCATTTACAGTACGTTGCAGAAACCAGACTCAGAATTTGTAGGCTGTTTATGGTTTCACTAGGCAATTTTACTTTCTGTAGTTTGCCATTGACTGGATTATAAAGACAGCAACTGCTACCACCAGAAACGGAAATTCAGTGGATATTTAAAAAAAAAAAAAAAAATCAGCTTGATGATCTGCACTTTGCTGTGATATTTATTTTACAATATTCCGCCCCTCTATTCGACAGTATTAAAATATTCAGTCTTTCTAGACGATAATATCACAATATTTCGTCTTTCTAGACACATAATATTTTTAGACAAAAATATTACAATATTCCGTCTTTTTAGACACAAATATTTTTAGACAAAAATATTACAATATTCCGTCTTTTTAGACACAAATATTTTTAGACAAAAATATTACAATATTCCGTCTTTCTAGACACAAATATTTTTAGACAAAAATATTACAATATTCCGTCTTTCTAGACAATAATATTTTTAGACAATAATTTTACAATATTCCGTTTTTCTAGGCGATAATTTCACAACATTCCGTATCTCTATTCGATAATATTACATAATTCAGTCTTTTTAGACGATAATTTTACATTCTGTCTTTCTTGACAATAATATTACAATATTTTATTTTTCAAGACGATAATATTGCACTGTGCTATTTTTCTAGACGATAATTTTACATTGCACTGTAATATTACCATTTTTTTTTTCTAGAGATAATATTATAATATTGGCACTGTGCAATTTTTTTTTCTAGACGATAATATTGCACTGTGCCATTTTTCTAGACGATAATATTGCACTGTGCCATTTTTCAAGACGATACTATTGCACTGTGCCATTTATCTAGACGATACTATTGCACTGTGCCATTTTTCTAGACGATAATATTGCACTGTGCCATTTTTCTAAACGATAATATTGCACTGTGCCATAGGCAGACACAAGAACCACAGCCCATGTCGATAGTAAACGACTAGCAAGACCAGCTCGCCTGAAAAAAAAACTCTTCCGCGCTCAGTTCTTGGGATCTCAGAGCCCCATTGTTTCCAGTGCACGTTGACATGTTTTCTCTCAAACGCTTAGTTTTTAGCCTGTCTGGAAGAATTGGTGTCTCCTCTGTCCATATTCCCTCCCTGATATCCACTGTAATGCAACACGATCCACATCCTGTTGCCATGTATCCATCTCAATACCTGTATCATTCTTGTCTTGCTTGTTCTTTTTTTTTTTTTTTTATACCCAGCATAACGCGATATTCCCTACCCATCTCTAATTCACTTAACAAAATGCCCTTACCGACCCTACCGTCTTCTTTCCACCTAGTATGTCGTAGCGATAGAATTCATCAACAATGTTTAAAAAAAAAAAAATTAAGGGACCCTTTTCCACGCCTCCAGGCGCCATCAACATTGGACGCACTAAAAACCAGTGGGCAAGGGAGAAAAGCCCATACAGAGCCACCTTTACGTGATTATTGTACTCAACTGAGCGATCAAATACATAATATTTACATATCAAAAAAGAGATCGTGCTGCCTTGGCAATAAGTGGTCTCTATAACATTGCCGATGTTTCGTGCTATAGAAAGGCAGAACTTCATCCCCGGCCTGAACTGGTTGTGATTGCTATGCCTTTCTATAATATAACACTCTAGTCTGGAATGACCGAAAGTGATAATGAAAAGAAACATAATATTGCAGAAAATTAAAATTTACTTAGTATTTTAAACACTCACAAAAAGTGCACAATAGTCACAAGCATATATGAAAAAAAAATTGTGCACAGTAGTCATGAGCATATAAGAAGAAAAAATTGTTTACAACAGTCACGAGCACATGAAAAATAAAATGTACACAACAGTCACAAGCACATATAAAAAATAAATTGTGCACAATAGTCACGAGCACATATGAAAAATAAATGGTGCACAACAGTCACAAGCACATATGAAAAATAAATTGTGCACAACAGTCACAAGCACATATGAAAAATAAATGGTGCACAATAGTCACGAGCACATATGAAAAGTAAATTGTGCACAATAGTCATGAGCACAAATGAAAAAATAAATTAACTATCGTGTCGACTAAGACGGTGTTGAGTTATAAGTAAATTTTACAGATTAACTGCAAG